ACCGCCATCCCAATCAATTTCAAACGCATGCAGGCTGTCAATTAAGAATGACCCTTCTTTTTTAAGCGCCAAGCTCAATTCCTCTTCACATGGAGCATAGTAGGGAGCGTTGAAGGAATCAACCTTTTCCTCTGCAATAAGACCCTGCACCCATAGAACAAGTTAGTACCTTTTCCTCACATACAGGAGAGGTGGTCAGCAAATTTAATGACCATCTTAAAGGAGATGTTTTTTTTCTACTCTCTGGCAACATGAAAAGCTTAAATTGCCATTCTTCATTACATACTTGTATCTGATTTGATATTTTGATATGTTTGGTTTACAGATCCCTCAAGAATCTTCCTTATAATATTTCCTTTATTTCAAAACAAGAACAAAAAAAGCTTAAATTGCTATATATGCTAAATATTGTAGATACCTCTGAAACCAAGGTCATCAATGCGTGGGCTAAAAGCTCCCACTGGTAGCAACTGGTTGGAGTTGTGGGGTCATAGGATGGCCTGCCCATGAGCGACAACACCATTCGTCCTCCACCAACCATTTCTTCAGCGCGGGACTTGAGAAACAATGAAAAATCGTTATGAAACTGAAGCGCATATGCGTCCAAAACGCATTGTGGGCTGGTCTTGGATATGTAGATCTTTCCTTTGTTCAAAGCTTTGCCAGCTGCCTTGCTGTCGAGACCAGGAGGGACCTGAGACAGCCAGTGAAGGCTAGAAGAAGAGTGCACAAAATGTAAACTCCTGGCCGGAAACAACCGCCCATAAAACGAACCAGGCGTGGCAGAAATGAAGACAGATCCAAGCTCAGGACCCTTCTCTTGTTTGAGTTTGTTGTAGAATGCAGGAAGTGACATAAAAATGGTGTTGAAGTCATTGCTGAAGAGGTCATTGAGGAACACTCTGAGCTCTGTTGTTGCTGACAGCTGGAGGCCGAGGTTACAGCTTTTGGCGCGTATGATAACATCTATGATCTCAGAGATGAGCAATAAAGTGTTGGGTCCAGATGAGCAGCCCAAATCTGCTATCCCCATGCTCTCTATATTATTTGAGCGCAAGATTTCTTGTATGGCATCATGAATGATTGGCGTTGCAATGGAAATTATTTTGCGCTACAAAATAATAACAAATAAATTTAATAATCAAAATATTATATACATATATATATATATATATATATATATAACACGTTGAATTAGAATATAATTATTAATTGAAGAAAATCATGATGAATAATATTAATTTGGACCTGAACTATGGAGTTTTGAGCATAACTAGTCTCGCCAACCCCTTTGTTCATGTGAAGTATTTGCATCACCTCCATCTCTGTATGTCTGTCTGTCTCATATAAAAGCTTGGAGTAATTGTGCTGTATATATAGACCCCAGTCGGCCAGTCATTCCTTGGAGATATATAAATGGAACCATGCACCGCAACCACATATTACAAGTAACTACGTAGTATGTTCTGTCGTGCGTGGGCAGGATCAGATGCAGATATCTAAGTCTAACGGTTACCTAGGCCAAAATAAAACAGACAAAACCTTCCTGCATCTCTTTTCATTTCAAACCACAAAAGAGTGTCTTTTTCTTTCACCCTATCTATGCCTATATGTAGCATGAATAGCTAGCTGCTGGTCCTTATACACTCCATATACGTTTGAAAACCAATTAAATAAGGCTGCATTTAGATGGAGCTAGTTAAAATATTAAAAAGAAAACTATAAAAAATAAAAAAAGATTGATATATGCAATCAGTTATTTGGAATCCATATATTTCCCTCATTTCAAACCCATTTTTTTTAGTTTTGGCGTACATGGATTGTGCTAGCGTAATCCTACAGTTTAACCTTATTATAATGTCATCTAAATGTTAGCGAGATTCTAGCTTAATTAGGATATTTATTTTCTAGTTTATTAGGATTATATTTCTTTCCTTTTGTACAGATATTGTGTAATTAAAATTTTATATTGTTTCCTAATTTGACCCTACTAGGGTTATATCTTTATACTATAAATACCTCTTTTTGGAGAATGAAATACAATCTGAAAAATATTCTACCCATATTATTTGACTCTAAATTCTTATATTTAGAATCATTTCATCGAAATGATCCTAAGAGCAATTATGACAAGCATTATAAAAAGCAACAAATCGATACTTAATTAGAATACATATATGAAGATTTTAATGAGAGTGATCAAACAAATATCAAATTGATTTTTTTTTCTTTTGAAAGCAATGTCAAATTGATTTGGAAATGAGTGGAAAAAAGAATCGCACCACATGTCTCATGCACATTATTTTTTACACTTAATTAATTCCCCCAGTTTGGTTTGTTCGCAAATAATACATTAGATTAGAAGCACATGGTGCATGTGATGCATGCATACAGTCGTTTTGGAATTTGCATGTCACTCATTTATTCTTAAACGTGTTATTCTTCTACTGCGCAAGTATACAGATATAACGACGTTCATGGAATTTTGAAATATCACGCAACAACAATATATTCACCATTTGTTGGAACAAAAAGGGCTGTACCGGCCTGGTCGGTACTTAGTCGGGCTATGATTTGAGAATTTTGATTAATTTATCATAGGTATTCATATGGAGGAATTGAATGTCGAAAAAATCTATTTGGTTTGAAATATAGAAGAGTCATAATCTGTGAGATGTCAATAAGAGTGTAGTTACAATTCGTGATCCGTGAGCCAACTTTATTTATTTGGTTTGAAATATACAAGAGTCATAATATGGAGATGTCGGCAAAAAAGTGTAGTTACAGTTGGTGATGAGCGAGCTAACTTTAACCCATTTGGTTTGAAATATAGAAAAATCATAATCTGTGAGATGTTGACAAGAGTGTAGTTACAATTTGTAATCCCCAAGCCAGCCTAATCTATTTTTATTTGAACTTAAGTAATGATGATTGTTGACGCCAAAAAGGTGACCATGATGGTTGTACCCATAGTCTTTGAAAAATAAGAAAATAAGAGTTGTTCATGCATTTCCAACCATGCATTTGCCATCTACTAGTACTACTGACGCAGAATTCCAACCTTTAATTATTGAAGCCCATTGTGCATTGTGCACCTTTTATTTGATGAAAGAAAAGGCTCTTTCTCGATCAGTTTTGCAAAGTTTCAACTATGTCCCTTTCTAT